GGAGAGAGCCAAAACCGCTCTGACTTCCCGCACACTTTATGTGCTTCCTTCTTGCCGACTAGAAGGGTCTGCTCTCTGAGAAAAATGATGATAGGGTCCATCCAAGAAGGACGTAGCTCGGCGCAGAGTACTTCCGTCTGCCCGGTTTCCTCAATGTAAGGCCTCGGAAGGAATTCAATCAAAAGAGGGTTGGGGGACGCCCTGTCGACCATGGAAGTAAGGCCGACCAACTCATCTGCTCGGCCGTTTTCTTCTCGGCCGAGCTGTTGGACCCTGATCGCCTGAAATCGCTTGATATAGTCCCTGACCAGAGCTTGGTACTTCATCATTCTGTCATCCTTTGCCTCGTAAACCCCAGAAACTTGGTTAACCACAAGCTGGGAATCACTGTACAAACCAACATACCCAAAACCCAAACCACACCAAAACAAAACCAAAACAAATCATTAGTTCAATAATCAAATTAAAAAACAGGGCATGAAATTCTCAGTATACAATGCAACAGATCAAGCATGAACAAATAGGAGATAATCAAAATAAGTATGAATCATGAGAAAATCAATGCCAAGAATTCAAGACCAGATCCATACGCACGCACAGTGACCTCAACAGAGATAAACATACATGAAAGCAGCCCATACAGCGACAAGACAGCAGAAACACAGATAAACCCGAATACCACAGACACAATAAAGAAAACACCCATAAAAAAATTAGACAAGAGGACGAGGAAAAAGTGTGGGAGAGAGAGGATCACAAACGACACACAAAACCCACAAAATCACAAACCCAACAACCACCAGAACCAAATAGAACAAAAAGCAACGAAAATAAAAGAGGGTAAAACGTACCAAGGAGCAAATCGGTGGGTAGGATGATGGATGTGAGGGAAAAACGACCACAATGCAGCCACAAAACAAACCCTAGATCGAGAAAAAGAAACAGGGAAAAAAAAACTAACTTGGTCCATCCAAGAAGGACGTAGCTCGACACAGAGTACTTCTATCTGCCCGGTTTCCTCAATGTAAGGCCTCGGAAGGAATTCAATCAAAAGAGGGTTGGGGGACGCCCTGTCGACCATGGAAGTAAGGCCGACCAACTCATCTGCTCGGCCGTTTTCTTCTCGGCCGATCTGTTGGACGCTGATCGCTTGAAATCGCTTGATGTGGTTCCGGACCAGAGCTTGGTACTTCATCATTTGATCATCCTTTGCTTCGTAAACCCCAGAAACTTGGTTAACCACAAGCTGGGAATCACTGTACACCATTAGCTCGGATGCTTGCATCTGAAGCGCGCTCTTGAGCCCGGCCAAGAGCGCTTCGTACTCGGCCTCATTGTTGAATGCTGGGAAGCCAAGGGTGATAGAATGTTCAATAGTTAGCCCGTCTGGCGAAATCAAAACTATGCCCAGCCTGGCACCGTAACAGTTCAAGGCTCCATTAACAAAAAGTTTCCACATCTCGCCAACAAAGAGTTTCCAACACTCTGAGGGGTCCTGAGAGGCTTGGAGGGTGATGGGATCACGGTTGCTCGGCAGTTTGGCTTTCAGTTCCGTGCTGAGCGATTCCACTTCAGCCCCCCTTGGTGATTCTGTGCCAGACTCGGCAAGTTGATACATAATGCCTAAGTCCGTAGGCGAATCGCCAGGTTGCGGTATTATGACGGCTGCAGGCTTTATGCTGAGCGGTTCCACTTCAGCCCCCCTTAGTGATTCGGCGCCGGACTCAGCAAGTTGATACATAATGCCCAAGTCCGTAGGCGAATCGCCAGGTTGCGGTATTATGCCGCCCGCAGGCTCTATGCTAAGCGGTTCCATTTCTTCCCCCCTTGGTGATGCAGTACCGGACAGAGCAGGATAGGCAATTATACCCAACTCCGTGATCGCATCGCCGGGCGGTAGTATCATATTATCTAAAGGTGCCTTGGCGGGGCGCGCAAGTTCCGCAGCGCCAACATCGCCAAGCTGTGGTATTTCGGTCAGGTTGACATTCACCTCTTCATCTGCCGCGACAATATTGACCGGGTACACCGGATGAGTTCCGGGTGAGAATTCAGCAACAAAGTCAGCCAAAGTCTAGGCTTTTATTGCAGTGCGCGGCTAGAACTTGACGTCAAACTATCCCAACTCGACCGCCCACTTAAGAATTCGACTGGAGAAGTCCGCCCACTCGAATAAAGTTTTGAGGGGGAACTCGGTCAGAACAATTATAGTATGCGCATGGAAATAGTGCGCCAACTTCCTTGAGGCCATCATTAATGCCAACGCAAGTTTTTCCAATGGCAAGTACCGCGACTCTGCCGATAACAAAGTTTTGCTGACGTAGAAGATAGGGAGATGCTTGATTCCTTCCGACCGAACAAGCACTGCACTGACTGCATGCTGCGAAACTGCCAGATAAAGGTACAGTTCTTCGCCGGGCTTCGGCGTTACCAACAGTGGCGCCGAAGACAGATACTCCTTTAGCTCGGCCAAAGCCCGGTCACACTCTTCATCCCACGAGAACTTTGATTTCAATGCTTGAAAGAAAGGGCGGCAGCGATTTGATGACCAGCTTATAAATCGATTAAGCGTGGCGGCCATTCCGGCCGATGCTGCACGTCCTTAGCCGAGCTGGGCTGCTGCAATTCTTGTACGGCTCTAATCTGTATGGGGTCTGCTTTGATGCCTCAGTTCGTGACTAGGAAGCCTAAGAATTTTCCGAATCCCACGCCAAAGACACACTTAGACACATTCAAACGTAGCTTGTGTGCTTTGAAAATGGTGAACATCTCGGCTAAGTCGGACAAGTGGTCTTCTTGATGCCGGCTTTTAACCACCATATCATCAATGTAAGCCTCCATTGTCCGGCCCAACAAAGGAGCAAACATCTTCGTCACCATTCTTTAGAAAGTCGCCCCGGCGTTCTTCAAACCAAAAGGCATGACTCGATAGCAGAAGAGTCTCCTTGGTGTAGTGAACGAGGTGATCTCTCGGTCTGGGCCATGCATGGCAATCTGATGGTAGCCGCGGTAGGCATCCAAGAAACTGAGCCTGTTATGTCCAGCCGTTAAATCCACAAGCTAGTCAATTCTGCGCAGAGGGAAGCTGTCTTTCGGGCAGGCTCGGTTGACGGTCTTGTAATCCACACAGACTCGCCACTTCCCATTTTCTTAGGCACCACGACCGTGTTTGAGATCCACCGTGGATAGTGCACTTCCTGAATGGCGCGTGCCTCAAGCAAGTTCTTCACTTCCTCTGCAACTACCTCGGCGTGATGCAGCGCTAATCTCCTTGTTCGCTGAATGACGACTTGGCTCCAGGGAAGATGTTGAGGTGATGGCAAATAAAACTCGGATCGAGGCCGGGCATGTCGTAGGGCGACCATGCGAAGATTTCGATATTTGCCATCAAAAATTCCACCATCTCAGTTCTTTCTTAGGTGGTGAGGCTTGAGCCGAGCAAGAAGAACTTGTCCGGATTCTCTGTATCAATTCGCACTTTCACCAATTCCTCAACGGCTTTGTCTTCGGCCTTAGTACCCACATCATCAAAGACTTCCCGTCTTCTGGTTCCTCAATCATTTGAACGAAGCCCTTGGCAGCCCAGCTCCCGTTCACTGCCACGAATCATTATTTCGACATGACTTAATCCCCCCAAATCTCCTCAATTGTCCCATAGCCGAGGGGAATCTGAGAGACCTAATGATTTCAGCTTATATGGTTAGATTCCCATTTGAATCCTACCCACTAATCTGTTTTTCTTTTAAAAAAAAAACTATTAAAAATTTATAATCAAAAAATAGAAAATATTCATTTCTTCCTTAAATCTTTAATAATCATATATATATATATATATATATATATATATTTATTTATGTTATTTTCTGTCTTAAGTTACACTAGTGCAATACCCATTTTAGAATAAAAAAAGTTATTAAAAAAAAAAAAACTCCAATGAACTATACCGAATAGAACATTCAAATCAAATAGCTTGGTCGCACCAACAACTCAGTCACAATCACGTTGACAAAAGGAAAAATTGCAAATATATTTGTTGAGCTGAGTTTTTGCTTTCTGAATTAAAAATTAGTTTGACAAAAATAATATTAAAAAAAATGTATTTTTGAATTTCGAAAATTCATTTTTGTCTAAAAAAAGAAAATTTATATGAAAATAAACTTGGCCTAATTTGGCCTAATTTATATAAAAAAAATGTGTTTATGATTTTTTTAGCCATTACTTGGCCTAAATTTAGGCATTGATAAGGCATGTGTTATTAATTGACCCAACAAAATAAACTTGTCAGTTGAAAAACCAAAGAAGTGTTTTTTTCAATAAGGGTTTATGTTTGTCCAAATTCATGCAATAGGAAGTTGGGAAATTATAGACTTGGAATTTGTTCATTTGTATGAATCTTTTTTAATTAACGCTTGGTTTATTTGGATCAAAACATTTACTACCGAAAAATATTTTTTATAAAAAAAATTTAGGGGAATATTCTTTTATGTTAGATTGTGGTGTCAGTGGAACAAAAGTAGAGGTGACTGCGAGATAGTGAGACGATATGACCATAACAATAGTGATGGTAGATGGTGGTGTCAGTAGAACAAAAGTGGAGGTGACGGCGAGATAGTGAGGTAGCTGTGACTATAGCAATAGTGATGGTAATGTAATGGTAGATGCTAGAATGACACTTTAATTCCTCTAATTTTAAACAACAATGGTAGGTGACCCGAAAAATCATGACTTGAATGGCTTAAAACACCTAAAACAACGTCGTTTTAACACATTTAAGCTATTTGAGCTATAAAAATTCAGGCCATCAAACATTTTCCAATTTTAAATTGAATAATTTTAAATTCTGTTTTAACCTTATATATTCATTTCGTTCCAACCAAAAAACAAATAGTAAAGACAATCTAACAATTTCATTCTGGATCAAGATATGGACGATTCTGGCTATTCTCAGAAATTTTCAGCATGTTTTTTCTTTCCATCCGTTGCAACCAAAAATCAAAACATGTGGGGAGTTTGAGCATAGATCATTGCATACATTGAATTAGATGATAATTTATTTTAATTGTTGTAACAGATGAACACATAAAAAACAAACTGCAACCTCTTTAAAAAAAATCTAAAATTAAATGTCTACCCATGGCCCGTGTGGTTTTCGATAAAAAACAAAACAAAACAAAAACAACATAACCACACGAGCACATCCCGTTCACAGGAAAAAAGAATAAGAATAGCTCGGGAACAACCCCTTCCCCCCCCAAAGCTCAATTCAAATCAGAGTCGGTCCCAACCATAGCCTCCTCCTCCCAGCCTTCATATATAAGTTCGACGAAAACAAACTACTAATGGGATATACAATTTACAAATTCTACCATCTCTCTGTCCACAGCTCGCGTGCAACCCTCTGAGATGAGATCGGTGTATGAGAGAGATCCACCCTCCATCCATTAGAGAGGGCCAAGAACCATGAATAATATTAAAGCTGTAACTGTCCTGGTCCTCTACGTGATGATCTTGAAGGAGGCCTGATCATGTCTGCCATGGTCGAAGGTCTCCTGGGTTGTTCTGGCCTCTGCACCTCCTGCATGGATGAGATTTCGAGTAAGGTCAGAAAGTAAAAGGGAACTAAGCTGCGGAAAGACAACCACATCGAGATACAATAAAGCATGTAAATATTAGGTTATAACAGTCAACCTCAAAACCCAATCTCTCCTTCTCAAGTCAGCCATCATTATTAACTAACACAGTGATACAAAATCTCTCTCCAACTGTTGGGAATAACAGAAATATTAAAATTTACCCAACAAACAAATTCTATACATCTTTGGTGGCTTTCCATTCACCTTCAAAACATCCACCCATCAGATTAATCACCACCACCAATGTCTTCTTCAGGGTGACCTAGGCATCTTAATAGTTATTTATTCGCGTCGTTTGAACCCATGTCTGTCTGGGTCATCTCAGCCACACCTTAACCAAGGGTCATGGCTCGGACCATTCCTAGTTCTTCCCGAGCGAAATTAGCTCTAATCTTGTCACTGATATATATATATATATATTACACATGCATTTCAAAAATAAAAAACTTCCATATCCCAGTTGAATTGATTAATTATAATGAATTGCAACAATGCTAAAGCCCCAAAAAAATAATAATAATATTGGAAATGATAATAGCAGTTTCCCAATGAAAATATGGTAGAATGAAATTAGGATACAAAACTAAAGCAAACCTTTGTAGACGAAGTAGAAGTGTGCCGTGATTGTGCCTGTGCTTTTGAGCGCATACGATGCTGCTGCTGCATTTGCTCAAACTGTTGCAGCTTGGAAGAAAAGTTTATTCCATTGTGCACATTCTGCAAATCTTCATCCATGTCGCCATCCTCAGAGAAAAATGATCCACTCCGCATGTGATGAATTTGAGAATAGGAGTTCACAGATGATGTCCATTTGGATTGCTCACCATTGAAGGAGTACGAGGGCACGGCTTTCAATCGAGTCCTTAGAATCTTGAAGGCTTTACTTTGCTGCATTTAAGGGTAAGTTTACGAAATATCGTAAGAGTAGAGCTGGTGCAATAAAATAGCAACAGAGTAAAGGATTAAGAAATTTTAAATTTTGAAATTGACCCTGTATAAGCTTTACATGACTTTGGAACAATTTTCAAGCCTCTAAGGATTCCTCAACACTTTTCATCCCCACTCCACTCCCAAACCAGAAATAAATAAATTAATAAATAAAAATTAAGCATTATAAACTTGGGAGACTTATGTGTAGCTTTTAATAGGTGGACTTATTGTTCAATAGATCCTATGATAATTAATGACATTTTTCATCAAAGCTATGAAAAAAAGTCACTAATTGTTAATTTTCAGCGACAGTTGAAAATTATCACAAAAAATGTCACTAATTATAAGTTTTAGTTACAATTTAAAAAAAATCATCACAAAAAACGTCACTAATTTTCAATTTTCAATGACAGTTTGAAAATTGTCACAGAAGAACGACACTAATTGTAAATTTTAGCCATGATTTATAAAAACCGTTAAAAAAAGTCACTAATTGTCAATTTTTAATGACATGCAAAAAATCATCACAAAAATTTATTTTTAGCAACAATTTTACTAGTATTTATTAACTATTAGAACTTATTGGTAGTTTACCTTAACAATCCATTGTTTAACAAAGTCCAAGATTCAATAGCAAACACCTATTCACTATTACATTAGACCATTTTGTTGACTAAAACTGTATTTAATGGCTGCTGTTGGCTTTCCATGTAAGGACTTTGACCTAATAATTTGGAGAAACAATAATCTTATAATAACTATATTTATCTATCATATTTAATATATCATCACTGAAATGGTAACTAATACGAGTGGTGAGACTCATTAAATTAATATAAGTTATAACATATGAGATGCTAAACATAAAATGGCAAAATATGGTCATTGTAACATTGTCATTGGAGAAAATCTTGGATGCGTATAGGGCATTGTCCTACACCAATTACCAATTGTCACCCTGTGTTGTCTGCACAAATACTAACTAAAAAGTGATGACACCTACTATATAAACCAATTGCATTCAAGTAGGATATCACATGACAAATATTCTATATGCAAATAAAAACTTCTCAACAATTTTCGTGTATCGGGATATACTGATTTTATTTTTATGTATAAATTTAGTATTAAATCTCAATTTATTTTTATTTTTTAATTGGAATATGATAGTTTATATCAATTGATAAAATAAATTATATTAATGTCTTGGTCCCCTTAAAGATAAAATCCTGATTCCGTCTCTGAGCATGGTGGGAAAAAATGATGGCATGGCATCCCAAAAATTACAGTAGATTACTCATTAACCAGAGCAAGGTAATGAAATTAAACCATACCTGGGGAAGCAGCATCAGAAGACCATACAAGGCTTTTAACAACCATATATATCTTCCAGGTTCGAGAAGCTGTAAGAAACAGAGAATAGCTGAGATGCTCCTATTAACCATTATTTGTGAAGACCAAAACAAAAAAATTCAACATAGGTCAGAAGAAATAGTCCATTTTTAATCAAATCAACAGTCCAGTACGTACAATATGATAAAATAATTAAAATAATTTAACATCACCCTCAACCATTCTTCAGCCCACCAAATATTCAGACAATAGTGTGGGAAGAAAATGATTATAGCCTGCATAAATCTTCTCAATTTGGGTGCATGAAACCTCGAAGGGCTCCAGTAGAAAAATATCAGATAGTAAATTTGAACAAAAAATAACAGAATATAATCTTTTATATAATTCATTTCATTATTCTTTCCAGTACAATAATTCTGTAGATTTCGCCTTGTGTATTATTCAGTTCAGTTTTAGTTTAGGTTTATTATGTAAATGAAATTTCAAGGTATTTTAGGGCTGCTATGTTCGCATCCTCTGACTCATAATCGAAGTGGTCTCGTGCGATCTCATAATTCTCTTACAAGAGTTATATCATTATGTAAAAGTATGTCCAAGAAATATGGCACATTGATTATAAAATCCATGTCAATGACACGATTTTTACATTCATGAACTGGTAAAGGGAATATGTATAATTGATAATAGCATTATTATGGTAAATGACAGTATGTAACCCATATATCACTACTCTTCCTCAACAATTGACTAATCAAACCAAGCACCAGGTTCAAATGGCAAGATAGTAACTCCGGCGAAGGAACAACGGCACACAATCAATGGCAAGGGTTATTTTGATGGATTATTGCTGATGCTTGTGATCAACGTGACTATCTTCCAGTGAGAAGGTGAGATGTGCATAAGCTACTGTAGGTCGATCACAATGACAAAACACTCCAACCAAGAAGTCTGTGCTGTGCCACAAAGAAGAAAATCACTATGGGCAGAGGGCAGTAGAATAGCAGATTAGTGAAGGAGAAAGCCAGAGATGACTTTCCGGTGTCTTTCACAAGCAACCAGAATTCTAGAAAAGGCCAGAGCTTTAGCAAAACACCGCAGTGACCTCCTCAGCAGGCGGCAAAGATTACGGAGACAACATCAAGGCTTCAGCTGCTGGTTGAGAGGTTGGAGAAACAATTGGAGTAGATTCTCATTGTTATTTGCTCATCTTTTTTTATGAACTTTTTTCTGGAATTATTTTCTTGGGTCAAATTATCAAATACTGTATGAAGAAAGTAACCATGAGATCGATCAAATGATGGTGATAACAAGAAGATGAACCAAAAAACCAACGAGGCTGTATTAAGAAGGCAACCACATACCGAAAGAGAAGAACCAGGAAAGAAGAAGAGGAAGCAGAACAACTAGAGGTATACCAAATCCTTATTTCTCAATAATATACCAAATCCAACATAGTAGTTTAATACAGATCCACCTATATATAGGCCTATAAGCATTATCCAATAAAGAAACAAAAATAAAACTAAAATCCTAACGAAATTAGGATTTCTAAATAAACTAAATTTCTAATCAATTATTCTTCAACCCACTCCTTTTCGTTCCCCATCACAATGGCTTCTATAAAAAGCAGACAATTTGGAAAGCACAGCAGTTATTCATCAACAGATAGGAAGAAAACTTGACACTACCCATAAATCTTCACCAAAGAGCACATGACACTAGAATAAAAAATATATAGTGGAAAATTTAAGGATGACTATTTATTTATATAACTATCGAGAAGTACAAGCACCTGCAACCTAAGATAAGCAAAAATCGGAGTCTCCAGTAAATGGATCAGTTTGTCCAACTGAACCAAGAATTTGACATTGATATCTTCCTCAACCAGAGATTGAATGATGGAACTTGCATGCGGGTAAGCCTGACAGTCAAACCAAGTAAAAAAAATCATGATAATTGAGAAATGGACAAAATATTGCCCAATTTAGCCATAAAGGGGAAAGTCAAAGGGATCAAATAGGGAGAAGGGAAAATTCAAATATAATAGATAACAACAGAATTATGGAACCTTGCCTGCGCTAATAAGCAAAGACTTATAATTGCCATAGGTGAATGGCACCACGAAGAATACAAAGAAACGAATAAGTTTTTTCCAGCAGGATTGACCAGTGATTGTTTGAGAAGATCACGAAGCTCAGACAACTCAGAGGAAGTAAGTAGAATCAAGTTCAAAGCCTGAAACATAAAACAGAAATATGCAAAATGGCTACTATGACTTGGAACATAAGAACAGTTACATTGTAAAGATAAAAAGAACGATGGCTCAAGAAAAGAAAGGGGAAATCTTTGGCTATCCTACAAAGTCTCAATCAATTTATAATACGCAAAACATACTGACAAGGATTTCAGGAGTAGCACTATTCCATTTATTAATGGATGCCCATTTAAAATATCATCGTTGTATTCCATTTTTGGTAAGTTCTCAAGTCGATAACAAAACCTGAACCATAATTGATGCAAAATCCAGGTCAGGTTGTCCCTCAAGTATCGTGGACAGTTCCCGATAGACTCTTTCAGCATCTAAAAGTACACAAAGCCGGCGAATTATCAAAGCCCCACGCCTGAAAGAAGGATAATCAGTTGACTAAAAATTAATAAAGATATTTAGGAGAATAACACACATTAATTCAATCATTAGACCAGGAAACAAAAAAAGCCTCAAATAGTAAGGGGGAAGAGGGCTGTTGGAGCCTCACTTCTCCAGGAGAGTGTTGTCAACCCGGAAATTATGCATTAAGAAAACAAGAAGCTGGCGGAAATGGTGTGGGTCTTTGGCAATGCATGCATGCACCTCAAGCACCAGGAGAACTACCTGGAAAAGGAGAAAAAATCTACTATAACAGCACATTACATAATTAAAGAAGACATCTGCCAATAAATATATTTTAACCAATACTTAGAACAAAATGGTACAAGGGGTTGGTTATTTTAAATTCTTGTTCAGGTGTGCTATTTACATTCTGCAAAATGGTATAACAAAATCAACAATACCAAATTGACACATCCTTGGGGAGCTATAGGACATAGACTCTTCTTCTAAATGCATGAAGTACCCTGTGTTGGACACTCGACACTTCGATAAGGGTATGGGATATGTGTCCGATAAGTGTTGTTAGACATTCAACTAGCAAACACTATTTGATTTAGGCTAATGATAACGAATGTTGTTAACATTCTTTGACAAGTGTTGTTAGGCTAATGCTAACATTATTTGTGTTGTTAAGATGTATTTATAGTTGTATTAATTGATCATGATTTCCGTAACTTTCTATTTTTAACTTGTGCGTTTAATTAGATGCATTTATTGCTTGACTATCTTAAAAACTTTTGATTTATATACAATATTTTATAATTAATATTTTACATTATCTATGCATAAAACTAATTATTAACTAAGATTTAACAAGTTCCAAGATGCATTTAATGAAAGTAGACTCATTAATTACTTCTTAACTTGTTAGCATGACTCTTTGATTTAACCAAAAAACTATGCATAAAAATCCTACATTATGCATGAAATTTTATATGGCACCTTGTGAACACCATTTTACCTGTGAAAATAAAATTGTACAAAGAAGTATGAATATTTTGTTTTGTCACCGTGTTCATGGACATGGTAATTAAATGAATTGGACACTTACACACATAGCCACACCCGACACCTGCTCCCAAGTGCATGTAACATAGCTTAGGAGATGCGCTAAGAAACACAGGCAACACTGTTATTTTTCTTCATCAATGATGATTCATTTAACAGAAAATGATGTGTAAGATCAAGCAACCAAACCCACGCACCAAAGGGACAGCAGAAATTTGCATCCTACCAGTGGCTTTAGTTTCATTAGTATGAGCTGGATGCATTCTATGCTACTGCGTGAACAAACTCTGAATACCACTGACACAACATATGATATACCGTAGTACAAATTACAAGTATTTCCTATAATTCTTCACAAATTTGCACCCCCTCTTCTCAGAAAAACCATTGATGGAGATCAATGAGGAGAAATTAATATGTATTCTACGAGACCCAAGAGGCATCAACCAAACGATTAGGGATTTGATTATGAAATAAAGAGTTTTAGTTCTATTAGGATTTTTGTTTCTATTTTTAGGTGTCTTTATTGGATTTATTTCTAGTTTTTTTTTATCAAATTCCTTATTTTTCACATAATTGAAATTGAATTTTTCGCTTATAAGTATTTAAGAATTTCCCTCGCCTTTCTTCTTCTATTTTCTCCCCCCTTCTCCTCTCTTTGGTTCTATGACATTTGGTATCAAAGCCAAAAATCACGACCCCTCAACCACCACCACACATATTCCATTAACACCAGCCACAATTGTTAACTTCCTCCTCCACCACACCATCACTACCCATTGCTTTTGTCATCACCATCACCAACATTAGTTGTGAAGGACTCCTCGTCCCCTCAATGGAACCCTAATCTTGCATCACAAAGATCGACCCATCAATGCGCTCGACCAACTCTTGTTTTCGCAGATCAACAGTGGTCAACCAGCACCATCACTGCCATCGACAACTACCAACCATCTTGCTGTCATCGACCTCACCTTTCGTACCCTCAGCGGTGTTGCTGGTGACGTCCCCTTGCCAGAGTTGTAGGGTCGCTGCTTGAGCCTAAGGCTCAATCATTGTTCTCAACAATGAGGAAGATGGTGCTGCAAAGATAAGGGCTATATTAAACCCTTGACCCAATCCTAAAGTCTTGACCCATCTTATTACCAAAATCTAATTCTCTATGTAACCAAATAGTCCGACCCACCAAATCTAACACGTCAAAACTATAAAGTAAAATATACAAACCAGCCCAAAACTCTATCCAATTCAAACCCTAAGCGTATACCCTATTCACACACAAGCAACATCAAAAATATCTGGGGAAAATTACAAAATTTGGAGAGCTTGAAAATCAATTTTTGGAATTGTTTGGGAGCATCATAACACAATTGGACGTCAAACTAACCTCGGGAAAAAGCTATGCATCCTCTTCTAAAAACTAGATTAGTTTTATATCTGAAATGTGAGTAAAATTTTACAAAAGGTCCACTTGATCATTCTCTCCAAAATTCTTGCTACTAAATTTAGTGGGAAAAATAAGCTTTGCACATTGATTCATCTTTGCTTGTTGCACCCGCTAGAGAATGCATTTTGCATCAACACTACATTGCATCTTAGTTTCTCATGTGTGTACACTGCCTAAGACAGCTCAAGGTCATGACTTTATTTTGGTTGTGGTGGGTAGATTTTTTAAGATGGCACACTACATTTCTTATAGTAAACAAACTTATGCTTCATGTCGCTAAATTGTTCTTTAAGGACGTTCTTGTAGACTACATGAGTTACCTACTTCTATTGTATCCAATAAAGATGTTAAATTTGTTAGTTCTTTTTCAAAGACACTTAGGAAATTGTTTGGGACTAATTTGAAATTGTATTAGTTTTTCATCCCCAAACTGATGGCTAGACTGAAGTTGTTAATCATAATTTGGGTGAGTTGCTTAGATGCTTTGTGGGTGACAAACCGAAAATTTTGTTTTGTTTTGTTGTTGTTGTTGTTTTTTTTTTTTTTTTTTTGTTTTTTTTTTTTTTTTTTTTTTTTTTTTTGAGCATCAACAAAGAATCGAAAATTTTATAGTTAGTGTTGCCATCTACAAAGTTCGCTTACAATAGTTCAATCAATCCATTTACTCATAAGATTCCTTTTGAGATTGTTCATGTATATCCTCTCACCAGCCTGTTGACCTTATTCCATTACCTGTTAATGTTCATCCCTCTCAATCTGTTGAAACTTTTTCAAACACAATCATGATTTACAAGCTGATATTAGAAGGAAAATTGCAATCGGTAATGAAAATTATAAACAAGTTGCCGATGTGTATCCTAGGAAATCAAATTTTAATGGAAGGGACCTTGTGATGGCTCATGTGCATCCCAAGTGCTATCCTAAAACTTCAGTCAAGAAACTTCATGCTCAAGGTATTGGACCTTTTCGTATCATTTTTAAACATAGACCTAATGTATATTTACTTGACTTACTTCATGTATGAATATTAGTCTTGTTTTCAATATTTGAGGATTTAACCAGTTTTCTCCTTTAATTGAAAAATGGGAGAGTTCCTGAGCCTTATTAGGCATAAATAAAGTAGGAGCTTCAAACAAAGCTACCAATTAATTCATTACAAAAACAATGATTACGAAGTAGAAAACATCTTTTTCTTAATGTCATGAACTTCCTCTTCTCAAAATAGCATGGGCAAAGCACTCTGCTGTGCCAAGCGGCCAGACAGTTAAAGTATTTGCCATAAGGCGATTTATTTCCATCCCTCCTTTTTTGAGCAGTCCCTTAGTCATTACTCTCTGGATGAAAGTTCTATTGAGGGATCAAAGAGGAGGAATTAAATCGTAGTCTAGAAGGTACAAGCGGAATAAAACCAAAGGTTAGAGATTTGATTAGGAAACAAAGAGTTTTAGTTCCATTAGGATATTGATTCTGCCGACCCCATTTGATGAGATTAAGGCTTGGTTTGGTTAGGATATTGATTCTATTTTTACGTTTCTTAAATGGATTTCTTTCTAGTTTTATTCTATTTCCTAGGGGTTGTGCATGGAGAAAGTTACGTTTCTGCATAAATGAAGTTGAATATTTTGGCCTACAAGTATTTGCAGAATTGCTCTATCCTTTCTTCTCCTTCTCTCATCTTCTTCCTTTTTTCCCTCTTCTTCTTCTCTCTCTGGTTCTATGGCAACCATCCACCATTATTGGATACTATGGGTTCGTTTGGTTTGTATTTCTGAAAAAATTTTGGGAAATTTTCTCTACAAATAAGTTTTTAAAAGTAATCAAACCAAACAAATTTTCCCAAAAAAATTTCTCAAAACTTGTAAACCAAACAAGTTTTCCAAACAAATCTCTCTCTCACACACATCAAATCAATCACTTTTTCCAAAACTCTCTCTCAAAAAAAATTTCCAAAACATCTTTTGAAAAAAACCAAACCAAACAACTTTTCGTACTTTTTATCTCTAAAACACATCTCTCAAACACAAACCAAACATACCCTATAACCTCATCCATGAATCCACAAATCTCCTATCATATCACACTTCATCATGTGTGCGTTAAGGGGTAAAGGTATTTAGTGTGAGCTGTCTACGACACATGCTGCTGAAAGAGTAAATCAAACTGGATTACTAACTCCTGACAATAAAAAAAAAACTGTACTGTGAATCCTTAATTTTAGGACTGCTAACACGCTAAATGTGTACACCACTAACTAACTAGGATGGATGCTACATGTTCACGTCCAATTAAATGAAAAAATACAGATAATTATTTGTGATAAATACATATACCAGTACCAATTATTTGTAACCAACACTAGTTAACCACAGTTACTAACAACGATTTTTACAAGTTCAATCAAATCCAAAAAGAAGTACAATATGATAATAATAATAATAAAAATGAACAAATACATAACATATAAAAGAATAGAGTATTAAAGTCAAGTCCATGAACCACAAAAAAAAGGAAAGGCAAATAAATAAATAAAAGCAGCAGCAAGAAAAAAAACAGAAGCAAAGAAGTGTTGGCCAAATGAAGTCAGAAAGAAAACACAAAACAACTACTTGATGCTTTAAGGTTAACATAAAATATAGAACTGATATGAAATGCAACTTCATGAAACTATTGGCAAGGAAAACAACCAGGAAAAGAAGTTACCTCATCAGAAGGATCTGACAGTGCCTTCAGAAGAGTGTCAAAAATATCATTCAGGTATGACAGGACCTGTTTTCAAGTACCATAAAAAATAAAAGATAAAAAGTCTGAATACTTTCCTCATCAAAACAAGGTCATGCTCAGAACTACAAAAAGGGTAGGGCAATGAAAGAAAACAAGGGCCTGCGGGCTGTTACCCAATATTGCCCTAGATTACAATAGGCTCCCAAAAAATTACAAAGAACAAGTAGAGCATAAAAGCATGGCACAGCAATGTGAGCCAAAATGTATATAATTAACCTTGGCCATCACAGCTGAACCTCCCCTAGTTTCTGATAATAATAATAATAAACTACCTTCTTTTTATGAAAATGTCATAACACCACTTCTACAGGTGTTTAATACAAAAATAACCAACACTAATGCAAGATTTATTATTATTTTTTATCAAAATCAAAAGGTTTAACAGAATCCAATCAGATTCAGTTAGACCTATAACATGTTTTTAAACTTTTTCTTCATTTGTTTCTCAAAAAAATGTCAAAATACATATTGTATTGTTGTTTAAGGTTAAAGTAACTTGCACCTATGAACTATTTGTTGTTATTTTAGTGAAATAAATATGGTTTAATATTACATGGGTCAGGTCAATCAGACACGATGGTTCCACAACA